AGGCATACTGGGGATTTCTGCTTCAAAGTATTTGCTTTATTATTGAACAATGGTTCTTCCTGTATTAAGCAGAATAAAAGGATATTAAATTACTGTAGCATATAAGACTTAAATTTATCAAACAATTACAGACATAGAGCATATTTAAATATATGCACATCTAACAGAATATGCATCCTTTTCGCAGTACTGCTTTGTTTCATTCCTGTTGTTCCCATATTGCATAACTGATCTTCCTATGCCTGACACAAAATAGCTAACAAGCCAAAACATTTGCTTATTATTAGTAGTACTGCACTGCATTTATATCCTGCCTATTTTCCCTCCTGTGAGGAACCCAAGGTGGCTTACATAGTTCCAGTTCATCCTCACAACAGCCCTGTAAGGTATGTTGAGCTGCAAGTTTGTGACTGACCCAAAGTCATCCAGTGAGCTTCATGGCTGAGGGGAGACTAGATTATTGCAATCCACCTGTCTTTAGATGAGAGATTCTTTCAGAGACCATTAAGATCCCAAAACTGTTAAGAACAAGCAAAATCAGATAGTTATTCCCCCTTTTCCCAAAGTATTTTTCCTCTGAAATCAGAGCAAATTTCAGAGATCAGATAACTAAAGAACATAAAAAGTGGAGTACACCACAATATCCAGTATATACACTGAATTAACCTACAAGTAATATAAAGGAGACATCTCCCAGAACCACAAGACAGATATCAGTGTTTATGGTGTCTTGCTGGTCGTCAGTATCAAATCAATATATATCATAAACTAGATACCCTGTTCTGTCATACTTATGATATTCTATATTTTTATCAACTCAGATCATAGAAAGGTTTTGGTCCTGTGCTTTTTTATAATTTGAATAGAAGGATATATGTATCAGGTTACATACAAACAAATAGCACAGCAGTCACTGAAAGAGAAATATATTTCACTCTATCACCCTTGTCAGTATCCTAGAAGAGCCAGTCTCCTGGAGGGGGTAAAAAAAGAAGCTTGGTAACATCATTTGGCCCTGGCTTTTACAGATAATGTCAACATGAATAAATTAGTAAGCGAACACAACACACAAAATGACACGTTTCATATTACTAATCTAGACCAATTACACAAACTACCACCCATGTGGTCATGATAATAACTAAAGTCAAAGCAGGCAAAACGTTGCCCAACACTGAATATCTATGGGTGTGGAATTTAAGAGGTCTTTGTTTTCACAGGAGAGGACTGAAAGCAGCCATATAGGGGCTGCCAAAATTCTAAAAATAACTTCACTACGGAAGTTTTGAACATATTCAGCAAGATAACGTATTCAACCCACAGAAAACAGAATTGCACAAGTTTTGTTCACACTTTAGCTTTCTCTATGTAACTTCACACACAAAAATTGTTTCTATGGCTTTTTTCCACTGAAATTCTGAACAAATGGAATTTAAAACTGTCACCCTAAATTAATTTACAAAGTGAACTTCGGTCATGTCTCAGAAACTTGTCCAGTTAGAAGATAAAAAAATTACAATACAAACATGGATAACAAACACCATGCATAAAATTCTCTTCTAAAAAGCCACTTGAAACTATGAACAACAGAAAATTATAAGAATGGGTGCTCCCAAAGACAAAGTACAACCAAAACAGTTTTGCTATACTAATCCTAACACAACTGGTCCAATAAAATGTATCATACAAACCTGTTTGGATCTTGTTTGTACATCAAAGCTTAATTGAAATAAATTCCCAGTTCTGCCAAAAAAAGTGCCTTCCCCAACACAGCCTCTAGATAAGGCTGGAATACAGGTGCAGTTTTCCAAGGAAAATATATCCAGAATATATTCATGAATACTGAGATTCAAAGATGCGCTCTGGTCTGCCATCTTTACACAGTGATTTAGGTGCCCACTTGAAAGTCAAGCATCAGCAGGTTTAGCTCTGTTCTGTGAAAAGTACCTTTTCTTTATTGTTCCTGAACAAACAGCTGTTTGAAGCACAACAGTATGTTGAGGAAGGGGTCTTTTTAGTTAGCTGGCAACCTGAGGCACTCTCTGCTACAGGCTTCACCAACCAGGTGCCTTTCCAACATACCCATATGCCAGCAGAGAATCATGTAAGATGCAGTCCAATACATCTGGAATGTTATAATTTTTTCCTGTAATTGTTATGTTTCTGTTGCAATTTAATGTGCTGTCTAAGCCCATTTTAATTGTTTCTGTATGCCACTTGAAATGCCTTTTTTGGTAGAAAGTTCGCAAAAATGAAAGAATGACTAAATAACCACCACACCACACACAAAGTAACTATTTTGCCATATCCCAGTGGCTTTTAAATAATAGTTCTGAAGAATAGTTCTCGCTATCAAAAAAAAGGCATCGATTGTTCGAATAGCATATTAACCATTCACAGGTGTGGGTGTGCGAAGAGCGGGGGGGGGCTTGTGAAGAGGAGAGAGTCAACTAAAAGACAATTGAAAAGGGAGCTCGAAAAAGGCCTGGGTGTTTAAAAATGCACGCGGAAAGCCTGACTACGACCCTGCCACTCGGTTATAAGAGCAGATGGTGGGTGGGTGCATGCATGCGGGGCGAGAAAGCAGGAACGAGCCGACGAAGGCTGCAGGAAGGCTAGCCAAGGCGAACGACCGAGCGAGGTGACGCGAGGGAGACGGGACGAGTGAAAGACCGTTCAGAGGAGGCTGCTGATACGGGGAAGAAATCGTTGAGAGGAAGGGTTGATAGGTGTCAGGCTGGGTCACGACGCTCCCGAAAGACTGGAGCGCCGGGGCAAAGCAGGGGGGGCGCTGGGCCTGGGGCCCGAAGAAAAGCCACAAGACGCGACGCCGAGCGATTTCGGCCTCCCGCGCCGCTTCCCTCGCCCGCCCACGGCCGTCCCCTCTCCAGCCTGGCCCCAGAGCGCCCAGCACAAGAAGCGCACATAGGCGGTCGACCACTTCTCTCACTGACCGGCTCGTGGACGCCATCTTCCTTCCTCTTCGCGGGAGCGTCTGCGTGCGGCTGGGCGTACTCGCCGACTCCCCTTTAAGCTTTACGCTCCGATGGGCGTCACCTGCCGTGGCCTCCGCTACGGAGCAGCGCAAGGGACAAACAGGATGGGAGCCGGGCGACGATTGTTGCCTCTTCGGCGGAGCAACTAGGCTGTAGGCGCTCCCGTAACAACAAGCCGAGGTGCTGTCTTCGTCCGAGTACTGAAGGCAGCTTTTGCCCGCGTCTGTGAGGTAGCAAAATCTGGCAGGGCAGTGCGTTGCACGACTTCCTGCGGCAGATGTTTGCAAGGTCCAACACATAAAAAGCACTAGTAAATTTTTTAAAACGGAACACGGAAAAGTCTGTACAGCTCTCTGATATGCTTCTTCTACAGCACTTGCATTTTCGTTGTGTTTCTTTTTACAACAGGACCTGGGTTGAACACTGGCAGCCTGAATTTGTTCAAAGCATACTACCATCTCAGGTCGTCAGCCTGCGCTGGGCATATATACAAAACCTCCTTTAACCGATGAAACATTTTAAACTATTCTGTCGCAACCTGAGTGTTTAAAGATCAGCCTAACACTGTTTTTCACCCGTGCATGTGAGGTGGAATAGGAAAGGCAGGATCACGCTCAGTCTGGATATTTTCTTCAGCAGTCTATCAACACTCCTCCTGCATAGCACGTGTATTTCAGTAGTAGCTACCATAAGGAAAAAGTTAACTACTTTAGAAAAGAATTTTGAATTTCTAAAAGAAGCAGTAACTACTTAAAGAGTAACAGTTCCCAAACTTAAAATCTTAAGGTGCACAGATTGTTGGCAAAGTTGGACGAATCTCAGGTGCTTGGCCAAGAACCCTTCCCAAGAATTACTATAAACACTCCCTTTTTGACCCATGCACTCATCAGCTGAAGTTACAATCTGCTACAAACATGTTATAATTTCTGTAAAATAAAAGAATGATTTTAGATCTACAAGATTTTAGTTTACAATTATAACATTATTTCACCAACTGCTTATGATGTATTTTGTAAAACTGCAAAACAAAACAAAACAGATTTATATTTACTGGGTTGTAGGACTAGAAGAGCCCACAAGTTACACAATATCCAAGAATGTGTCAGGACTAAAAGAGCCAAAGATACACTATAATATGGCTATAGAAACCCTGAAACTGAGAATAATAGTTTTGAACTGTTAAGATAGGCATCCTGATGTGATTTGGAAATTTATCAGTCTTGCTCCTGGTTTATATCCTAATCTAGGGGATGCCCCACCCAGCCCCTTTTTTCCCTTGTCTTAACCCATTCAATTTTCATTATCACACACTCTTGCCTCTTGCACACTGCCTATCTAACATAAAAAGATCCCTTCTTCATACCTTTGGACTGAATGCATTTCCTATATGTCTGAACAAACTGCAATGTTCTTTTGACTGTACACCTCCAGTGTAGTTGTGTTCGGTTCCTTGACAGATGCAATATTATCCATTTTGAGAGGCAAGAAAGTCCTACAAGTCAGGCTTGGCTGTGGATTCCTGAGCGTTGTAGAACTTTTTTGATCTAAACCTCAATCCTAAGGCTACAATCCTATATATACTCACCTGAGAGTAAGTACCACTGAACTCAATAGCATTCATTCCAGGATATAGGGATTCTTGTTTAGGATTGTACTGTGATGGTACAATCCATAGCACCTAGGAGTAAGCTACACTCAATATGGTGGAACTTACTTGTGAGTAAACATATATAAAATTTCTCTAAGATCTGCAAACAATGCACAATTTCTTCAAAATATAATCAACAATGGGATTTACTTCTAAGTAATATGTGCTGGTTCATTTTAGGTTAATCTTTAAGGCTAGTCTTAAATGATTAATTACCATATCTTAAAGATTGTTCATTTGCAGTTGAACAAGACAGGAAAATGGCAGAAACTATTTTCATAATATTCCTTGCTATGTTTGAAGAACACACTATTTCACTTACAAATGAAAATAATGAATGAAAAGCAAAGGCTGGGTAAGGTTAATAGCAATTTTTCACTTTTAATGATTTGTTAAATCAAATCAATGTTTCATAAAGCTGACAAACCATACTTACTTAATCCTCAAGGATCATTATTGTTAAATAAAACTGTAAAATTTGAAAGGACAGTATCATCTCATTATTATAGTTTATGCAAGATGCTCACTTGTTCAGTACAAAGCAAATTATTTATCTAATGTGCAAAGAAAACAATCTCATGGTACTTAGGTATCATCTGGACAGCCACAGGATCCTCTGAATTCTCAGATCTGATATCAAAGATGCTCAGACTTTGGCATTGGAAATCTGGGCTGCAATCCCTTTCTCATCTTAAAGCCAATATGAAAAGCATTGTGTTGGCTGCCTCCCTGAGGTTGGGAACTTGACATCAGGGGTTGTAAAGGGGGCATTGTGGTAGATGGCCTCATTTTACTTCTTCAGCCTCCTCCTCTCCCTCTCCAAACCACCCCAGCTGGAAAAAAACTGCCTAGTAAAAATTGAGAGGCATATTTTTCCTCCACAACTCCTCTCGCTTTATTAGATGCTTGTAAGCCACTAAACTAGGGAGTTCACGGCCATCAAGGGTACAACCTACAGGACTGTACCCTAAAGCAGTCCAACCTCTTCTCCATAGCCATTCCCTGTACAATCTGTTAAATTCACACCCTGTACTGTGCATGATATTTATTCATTTCAATTGCAAGGCCTTTTTTTTGCATTTTGTGCCCTGAAAGTGCATTTCTGTATTTATCTGTCATAGTAATGAGCAATGCAGCTGTATTAGCTACTCAAAATAGGCTATGTCATTTCCCAGACAAAGTTATTTAAAAATTATTCAAAGTTTGCAATGCATTCTACTCCAGAACTCTTGTGCAATAAACTGGGAGTCCACACCTTTTATTATAAAAACAATGCACATGATTTACTACATTTAAAATCTGTTATTTTTACTATTACATATTTGTTTTCAGATCTTTGTGAGAATTCATATAGCAGGATGTTTTACGAATGCTCACTCAGATCTTTGAAAAGACTACCCCGTTCATGTTGTGATGTACATATATGGAAAAAGTATCCTGCAAAAATCAACCATACCTGGTTCTTTTTAAGTAGCAGGAACCTAGATTACAATAGATTATGGTACCAGAAGGATTTGACAAAGGGAAGTCTAACACCCCTTGATCCAGTTCCATGGTGCCATGCTCATCCTGAACGCTTTCCTCTGCCATCATGCCAATTCCGGGGATCCTGCCCAGACAAAGGCTCTCAGACATCTGCTCTATGCAAGTGTATACCTGCACATGCAGAGGCTAACATTGTGGAGGTGGGTTATGTCCCAAACATCTCAGGGTGCATAATCTTCCCTTTGTCAGCATTCTTAATCATTCGATAGTTTGTACCCATGTGCAGTCAAATTCCCTTAGAATCCCTCTTCAGACTATAGTGCTGAGAGCACAAAGGTCTTTGGGGGCATAAGGACATTAGGGTGGAACTTGGGTGCATACCCAGTGCCTACATACTTTTATGCGTGAGCCATCTGAATGCCTGGACAGGGCTGGTATTATGCCTTAAATGCAAAAGAGATCAGTATTTAACCAATAAGTAATAAAGTGAATGCATAACAACTTGAACAAGTATAAAGGAATGCATTAGGTCTGGATTCTTATGGATATTGTCTGCATGTATTTTTACTTTAGCATGTTAAAAATGAGGGGAGGAAAGGATTTCACCAAAACCTTACCATTATAAACTGGAGGATAGAAAAATCCATTTCACAGACATTGTTAATATGAAATATCCAGCAGGTGGCAGCACAGTGCAATTTTTTAAAGTATAGTTTCATATGGGAAATTCTACATCTGTTTTTAAAGGTACAACTGTGCCTACATTTTTTTAAATGACATGAAATGTTAGCTTCTGAGTCAATGCTTCTTCCAATTCTTCAGGATCACTTCTGCTGCATTCAGTGTGCTGTCTTTCTGTCAACACAAAACACCATAAAGAATTGAGATCCACTAATGGAAGAATATATCAGACAGTGAAAAAAGTCAGTGACTGTTACTAACTTTGGAAACAGATTGAAGCCATGGCTTGCTCCACAGTTTTTCATTTTGACCACAGTGGCCATTGCAGAACATGTTAGTTACCAGTTGAGGTTTTGAAATTTGAAAAGCATTTCATACACAGAGGGCCTTTCCTAAAAATACAACTAACGGCAGAATTGTATAGAACAGACTTGACTGTGCAGCTGGGAACGAGGCCATGAGGTTTTATATTGTAAACTTGTTTTATATTTTATTGTATTATATTTTAATTGATATATTTGTGAGCCGCCCCGAGGCTTCGGCGAATGGGGCAGCATAAAAATTTTCTAAATAAATAAATAATACCCCGGCACAGCCTTTCATTTTTCCTATGTTAGCAATTATTCTTTCACTCTTACGGGGATAAGTAAAGCATTAAACCTGGGAACATTCTTGTGGAGGGCTCAAATGTGTAACACTTTGTTGGCCTAACCTTCACTGCGTATTCCCCCAGTTAAGTTTGGGTGTGCAGTGTGCAGTGCAGGTTCTTTTGATCTGGTTCACCTGATGGAACCTGGTCAACCCTTCTCACACAGGGCTGGTTGATTGATTTATTTAAACATTCTTGCATATACTAGGGGAATATACCAAAGTATTTTTAAAATCAATAATACACACACAAAAAGGCCATTGGAAATTCTGACCTAAATATACTCCTCTGAGATATACCAGGTAGATAACTTTCTTGGACCATTTCCTTCAAAGCAGGGATCACCTTTGCAAAGATTTTGTGGATCAGTCTATTCTAGGTACAGATCCCACCCAGCTTCATTGTATGGGGTCTTCCCAGCCTTGCCCACTATCTATTCTTCTTCAAACCAGTAAAAATATGCCAGAAAAGATGATGTGGGTGTTCACTGAGTTAGCACAGCTGTATCAGTTCCAAGCATTTAAACCAAACACTGCCTTTTTTATCCTAACAAACAAATAAAAATGAAGGAATCAACATATAGAGGTGATTTAGAAAAGAAAACCAAAAATGAAGAAATGATCTGTTCTGCTTTTGTTCTACCATTGAGGGAATTTTATATGAGCCAGTACTTTACAGTGTAAAAGTTACTGAACTAAATCCCAGCAGTCACATTCTCTTTTGGAACCCTTGCAAAGAACAATTTCTCAGGATGGGCCATTTCAGCCACTCAGTACCCCATTGCCACCATCAATACCAAGAAAAGCCTATTTTTTTCAAAAGAATCCTTGTTAGAAGCAAAAATCTTATTGCTGACTTTTCCCCAATCAGCCCTGGGGTTAAGCTTTACTGTCACCTTCAGATTTGTTATCAGCCAGTGTGCAGATTTAGCTTTGAACAAGCTCTTCTGGTTGGTCGGTTAATTATCAGACACAAATAACCAGGCAAAGATTATCCTTCTACCAAGACATAGACATTCCTAAGCCAGGACTTCATCGGGCAAGTAGGTGTGTTCTTTGATAAAAGAGACAATGACGGGGTTTGTATAACATGACAGCCCATTTGTGGCTTATAAGGCATGGTAGATGGTTGTGTGATAAGAACCAGGGATGGGTTTGTCACATGGCTCAGTTTTGCCCTAGCAGCAGTCATGGCTTGCGACCTACAACAGGTTGTTAAACTGAGATGACATGAGCCATCATGAGTCAAGCCCTGCTATAAAATCCCCTGACTGCCCTTGCCAAGTAGGTGTCAGGCAGGAGTTGCTGACAGGCTTCCCCAAAGTGATGTTTGGGAGTGGCTGGCAGATGCTTCTCTCTCACTCGCGAACACACTGAGGCTCAGAACAGCGGATGGACTGCAGCAGTGGCAGTGACTGGCACCAGCTCACAAGTTGGTGGCGGTGACTGTGGCTCCACCATTTCTCATCACCGTGCTGTGCGCAAAACCTGGGCTTGGCATGGCAGCAGGGAATGCAGGAACAACGAATGTCGCTGCTGACTCACCAGTCAGAGCTGCAGCAAGCCATTTTGGTTGTGTCATCAGCAGAGAACTGAGAAGCAATCCCTGTGCCTTTCCCCACCTCCAAAATGGTGTGAGCCTTTGTAAGTTCCCTGTGGCTGGGGGGGGGGGGGGGGATGACGGACTCCTGCAGAGTTCAAAGGGATACCCATAGGGGGTAGGCAAGGGCCACGGCTTATTGTCCACTGGGCACATTATGGGCTTTCAGGCAGAAAATCCACACCGTGTGTCTTGTGCCAAAGCATGGGTAGTTATACTGTGCAAATTTACCCAGGCGGTATGAGGCAGCCCCATGGGGCATATTTGCTGTTTACCTGAAGATTCTTAATCCAATCTGCCCTCTTTGCAGTCTTAGGGCCAGATAATTCAGCACACAATTGATGTTTTAACACAGATCCAGAAAGGAGGTTTCTGTATTACAGAAACAAAGTGTAAATAGTGGACTTTGGGGGGACAGTGGGTCTCTGCAAATGCAAAACTTTGCCATCCACTAGAATCAGTTATAGGGAAGAGGAGAACAAAAAGTGTCTCCATATTGGAGACCACAGAAATGGACTGTAGTCCCCAGGAATTCCATTAAATCACAGAAATTTTCTAATATTTATTAGCTGACCTTCTGTCCAAGGGCACATAAGGAAACAACATAAAACCCAAAATCCAAGCTGCCACCACTGTCCCAAATATCTAATCAGAACAGCAGAATTAAAAATCATAGCAGAATAACAAAAACTGTTTCAATTACAAACATCCACAATCAAAAGGGTCACAAAGAAACAGCAGGCAATAAAACAGATAAATAATAATACCTTCATATAATAAGCCCAGCCATGCATTCAGTATTAGCTGCCATCCACAATGTGAAAAGCTTCACTTCCCAGCTGCATGCTGTTCTACATATAGGAAATGGGCTCTTTTGGGAAGAAATTTCACAAGTGTAGATACCACAACAGAGAATTCATCCTTCCTTGTTCCTACCAATTTTATTTGGCAAATACTGGAGCATTAAGCAGTTTGCTTGATGCCAGTTTGTTGTTGTTTCCTTGACTTCCGAACCACAACAAAAAAAATTGGCACTTGCATAGTACTGCATATCTTATGTACATCAAGCAACAGTATCAATTAAATCAATTTAAATTCTAGATTGTAACACAACCAAATATGGGAAATTCAAAAGGCAGGGAAATGAATACTTCTGCAAAGCATCTGATGTGAACACTAATATAGCATCATTTGCTTCTCTCCAGACAACAGACCAGCAAAAGTTAAGTGCTAAATTTGTTGTGAGTTTGTTTTTTTGTTTTGTTTTTTTGTTTTTGGTTGTTGTTTTTGGGCAGACATTGCAAGTTTATCTGGCCTGTCAATTTGTATTTTGATCCTGCAGCTCTAAGTGAGAGCATGGAACTGCTCAACCATATAATTAGAATGCAGGTTATTTTTAGTGTAAATTTACTGCATTTTGCCTTTGTGAAACATGCCTCTTAACCAAGCCCTTCAATACGTCCCGAGGTTTCACAAGTCAACTTCTGCTCATGACCCTTTTGCCCCTAATCCAGCTTCCACAACCCTCTGCCCAAGGGCAACAGGGCTGGAACTGGTTGAAATAGTTTCACTGAGCTGGCCAAACACATCATCCTGTAGCATATACAGATATCCTTAATATCCTCACCTAGTAGTACTCATTCTATTGAGTTTCTGTAAGTGAAATACAACAGTGGAACCAGCTGCCTAGAGAGATGTGGGCTCTCCCACACTGGAGACATTCAAGGCAGAACTGGGAAGCCATCTGAGTGGGATGGTGGAAATGGGTGTCCTGCAACAGCAGGAGGTTGGACTTGATGGCCTTCATGGCCCCTTCCAACTCTACTATTCTATGAGTCTATGAAATGGCTGAGGAGTTAAGGCATTTGTAAGACAAATAGAGGAACTAAAGGGAGGAAGGGAAGAAAACAGGCTTTTTGAAGGGAGGAATCTGTCTGAGATAGTTTTTATATGTAGAAAAGAAAGGCAATTCTGTCAGTATCTCACTGCTAGGAGTTTGCACTATTACAAATGCTGGGAATCATACTTTCGAATTCAGTACTGTCATTCTACTAGTTTCTACCATTTGCAGAAAATTCATTTTATCCTTCCTAAGAATCAACTCAAATACTTTTATCGCACTTATTGTACAAAGCATTACACAAGGTGCTTCACGAGCCACCGCACACTGCACAAGGCACTGTGCAAGGCATTGCAACTCTATTAGATTAGATGTTGTTTGTGCAAGTTAGGCTACTTCTGATGGCAGTTGTGGAAGCAGTGGTAGAGCTGCTGATAAGGTTAAGATGCATTTACAGGAAAACTGTAGGGACAGAAGCCATGGCCAAAGGACCTCACCTACTACTGCTATCTCAGTGTTAAATTTCGTTCCCAGCGGGGAGAATAATTAATTTATTCATCATATCTAACAATACATTAAGAGTAGTAAGTGGAACATAGTGAAGCACACGAGCTGCAGGTTTTCTGGTTCAAAGTTCATATTATGCCCTTAAGCAAGCAATTACCTTTTATTACCTCCTTATTCTGATTCTGGAGTACTTTATTACACTGATTAGACTTTGAGCATTTAGAAAGATCATGATGTGAATACTATAAATATGATTATATCTTTAAAAAAATTATTACCACAACATTGCAACGCTATTTTAATTGTTTAATAAGGGACAATGAGAGAAGACTAGTTTAAGTACTAAGACAACATTGTGGATATGCTAAACATTATTTAAACGCTGGTTGTAGAACTTACTTTGATGAAGCAAAATCTTATGTATTTCTCAAATTGACCTTTGGTCTCTGGGCCACAAAATGAGGTGAGAGGAATAGCTGACAGTTTCTGAAATGGAAAAAAAATAACAATTATATCCTTACAAAGTACATTAAATTAGCTTAGAACTTGGATACGTCAATAATGCTATTTTTGTCACAATGTAAAAGAATGATGACTAAGATCTTAATTAAAGTTGTGTCATCATATATTACAACATTCCCGCATAAAAGATACCACGCTATTATCATGAATGAAGATTTCACATGTGAATGTTTGGTTGCAGATAAACAATCTTACCTGGCTGGGTAACACAACAACCCACCCTTGTTTGTTATCACAGGTGGGTTGAAGCATCAAGTGAATGAGGGCCAATTCGGCACCAGTGGCTAGCTTTTTCAAACGTATCACCCTGTGGTGCCTAGTGTAGTGCTGCTGTCACCCATGGAGGGTTATGGTATCATTCAAAACTGGGTGGATAAGCCCAAACAGCCAATGAACCACGCACCAAGAGTGGCCAAAATCCTTTGCTACTCTTGACAAGTAGCTCCCAGGTAAGCATCACTAACAGGAGCCCCCAAGGTACAAAGTAATACAGTCAGAAGCTTTTCCCCGCCAGTGCTGAAACAAAGCAGCTGTTTTTTCTGAAGGCTTAAGCATAGACTTCTCAGGCCACTTGCAAGGATGGCCAGGATCTGCTGCTCCCTGAACAGGTATACTCTCCTTACTGGCAGTATCTACTCTCAAACCCCTTGTAAGGATGTCTGGAAGGTAGAAGGACTATTCTTAGACAGGAGTGCATGATCCCTTCGGAAAAGCTGCAAAAGAATGTGGCAGCCCTGTCAAACAGATCCAGAGAAGCAGAAGTGCCCAATCACCTCCCACATTCTCCAGGTTGCAATTGCCTGTTTGCACTATGGCAACAAAACCTTAGGTATCCCTACAGCACAAGCAGGGGCCCTGTAGGATGAAGCTTCCATCCTTGCCGGGGACAAGATGCAGGAGTCAACCACAACAAGTAGAGGAGGCACTGCACATTGTCCTAGCCAAGCATGGAAATTTCTCCCCATTGTGCTTCAGTGCAGAAGCCCTGTTTGTATAATAAGAACCCTCTGATAGCTGAAGCTCACAGTCATCACTGACAGAGACAGGAGATTTGTTTCTTCTTGTAGTGTCCCCTGGGATACCATGTGGCGGATCAAGAGGGAAGGAGGCAGCAAAGGCACAAATGATTTGTTGCCAGAGAGGGTTGTTGTACTGTGTAAACTCAGTCATCGTGTGCTCAGTCCAGGAAGCAGTAGTCAAGGGGCACAGGGTTTGCAAAATATTTGATTAATTGCTTCATAAGACAAGTGTTTTCCCTGTTAGAATTCTGGAGTGCTGCTTCCTAGATTAGTGCCATCCCATATCCTAGAAGCATAGAAACATAGAAACAGAGCGAGTCAGAAGAGGCCTCCTGAGCCATCTAGTCTGACCCCTGGCTCCAGCCAGCTCCACCCATGACATGCCCACCATGTGCATGCCTAGCCTATCCTTGAATACCCTCCCTGATGGGGCCTCAACCCATTCCATACCCTCCGGGTCCTAACTGTCAGGAAGTACTTCCTGGCATCCAAATTGAAGCATTTGTTTCCCCAGTTGTTTCTCCTCATCATGTGAGCAAAAGAGTTTAGGAAAGGAAAACAGCTGTTTTTTAAGCTGTGCCTGTGTCTAGTTTATGGAAGTTACACAGATTGGTGTAACCTCCAGGGTTCAAAAATCTGCAAAGGCATAATCCTATGAAAATTTATACAAAAGAAAGCCCTACATCCCAGCATGTCCCAGGCAGCATGCTGGTAGAAGTAGGCCCCTTTTCTGTCTAAACTAGAAAAGGATTGCACCCTAAAAGAATAAATTTTTGCTGGGATAGGGAAAGATTGCCGCAAGCCTAGCAATGGACATACAGCTTTCCACTGTGTTCACAGACCTGATCACCCTTTTTACAACCTCACTTGAATTATAAGGTATAATATTAAATACATTTTAATTAAAGAATATGAAGAAACAAACCCTCACCTTAGATTTTATCATCCATTTCACAAATTTATAATCATAGGGTTTATCTTGCTCCATGTCAGATAGATCCACATCTTAAACAAAACAAAAATGTCAAACAGAAAAAGGAAACATTGTTTTCCAGCAGAATGACTTTAAGTCATCTGGGCACTTCTGCACAGATGGAAGGGGCCACAGTTGAATGAGCCGCAGTCCAAGCTGGGAAAGTGTCCTGCTCGAATGGAACATTATACTTTTCCTTCCCCAGAACTGTTCTAAAGCTGTGCTCTAAGAGCAGAGCAAAACATTATTGTAAGGGCCTCCTGCCCAAAACAGCAGCCCTGTGTTATCTCCACCTCATTTTCATCTGTAACTTAATCAAGCCCTGCTCAACATCATCAGTTGCTGGTGGAGAAACTAAATGGTGATATCAGAAATTGGGGAGCCTTTCTGTAGCTTTCAGGGTGAGAGCAAAACAACACCACCACCAAGCTGCAGTTTTTGGCAACAGCCAAAACAGACAGTTTACTGTCTAGTTCTGCAATAACTGCAGCGGTGTGCCCACTGGGCAGACTGACTTGATCAAACACGTCACCGTGGCTTAAACTGATGGCATGTGCTGGGCACTATTAGCCTAATTATCATGCTTGGTGAGGCTTGTCATGTTATCTGAACCTGGCTGGCATGGCCTGTCTGAGCAGGAAACAATCCTCAACAGAAAGCCATTGTTTGAGATTTGTTTTCTGCTCTGCCATGCTGCCTTGGTTCAGGTGACACACCAGGGTGTACCCAGAGGGGAAAATACTGGTATCAATCAATCAATCAATCAATCAAAAAAGAAAATGCATATAGATACACTGCTTTTATGAGGATGTTTCCCCCTTTTTCTCTTTCTAACAGATTAAAGTAAAAAGCTTCCAAAATACAGTCCTTTACTTACGTTGGCTTTGCAATAGAGTGATATTGCATCACCCTTACTCATAACAACAATGCTAAACTGAATCCTCCTCCCTTTTCCTCTAAAAGGGTCTGTCTCCACCCTCAGGGAGGTTCATGATACTTGTGGAACAGATATCAAGAATGATGGGTATTACTCATTTGCTCTGACAGCACACAACTGAGTTAATGAACTCACAACCTTTCCCTTCTGACTTCCATTGTTCTACAGTGTCTCCCCACACCCCTTGAACTACAGGCAGTCTGCTTCTTACCAGCCACTTCGCTAATCTTGCTTGTTGACCTTGGCACTTCAGTGATGCATTCCAACTGCATTCTTGTCTAGCTCACTTACAGCGTTTGAGCTTTCTCGCTCAGAATGCTGTATTTTGAGAGAAGCAGGCCCATGCTCTACGACCGAAGCCCCTTACTCATAGTACATTTATAAAGGCTTCAGGTGCTTCCATCCTTGCCATAGATTAAAAAAAAATTACTAACTTAACATGGACACATCAACAATCATGAAGTATCCTCCCTCTGGAACAACAGGTTTCAGTCCAACTTCCTGGAGCATCTGAGCCATTTGGTTCCGTTTGCCTTCCAGCTCTCTAGGCAGGGAGTTGAAGTAGCAGTCTGGATCATCCATGCGTTTCAAGTCCTTCAGAAAGGCTTGTGCTACTGCCTCCTGAAAATTTAAATCAGTAAAGAAAAAAATGTTGGGACAATTAGCAAAAAGTGGAAGACTCTAGACAGACTTTGTAAATATGCATTGTAATATTTAAATAGCTATAGTCAAAGAAATGCTCCAATCTGTAGAATCCAAACGTCATTTTTCCCATAAGGTTTACTACCCAAAGAGACAATTAAGAGTTAAGCTTTGTCAGAAGTGGGTTTTAACAGGAAATAAAAACTAGTAACTGGCATATTGGCATGCTTCCAAGAAAACCTAGCTATCACTAGAATGTGTATTTCTTTCAAATGCACAATTTTTAAAAGGCCTTTTTCTGAGTTTCTTAGGATGTGAGCTTCACCTCTGCAAACTCACAATCTCTTTTCACTTTTTTGCCCATCTAGCCAAAACATTTCTGAGAGGGAGGGAAAGAGGCTAGAGACACCTCAGGATGCTGTGAGCTAGGTGCCTTTCCTTCACACTTTCAAAGCTACAGATCTTTCTTTCAAAAACATCTTTATTGACCAAAGCATTTTCCAGAAGCACAATCACCCAGAATGAATCTCTGAGCATGCACAGAGTGGTTTGTTGAATGCAACTCAGTATTTACTTCTAGGAACTCTCCTTTTGAATATGTTTGGGCCTCATCCTTTCTCCTGCTGTTTATTGGTGCTAGCCACTGAAGCTGCAACAGAATCTTTACAAAATCATAATACTCTATTTATTACTACCTACCTGTAAAGGAGTTGGACATGTATAGATTGTATTTTGTTGAACAACCTGCAAATGTTTTATCAGGTGCTGGGGACCAACAGACCAGCCAAGCTTAAAGAAGATATAAAGTGCAGTAAGTATTTGGCTATTTACTTAACATTTACAAAATCTTAAGTATGGAGCTGAGCTGAGAAGTGCAAAAATATTCACATTTTAACTAGTACTATCAGTACTCTGTATAAACTTTGCAGATAAGCACATAAGAGTTACTAACCCACAAAGCTGTTTACTTATACATACATATCAGCCATCTGGGATATAATTCCTCATGATTTGTTTTTGCTGCTCTGGTCTTCCAGTGTTCACTATTAGCTTTTCAGTAGGACTATAGAGCTACTGGGGACTGAAAAACCCCAAATGTTTTGCAAAAGGTCCTCCTGGTTCTTTGGACCATGGCCTTAGTTCCCCACATGCACTCTCCTCCCAGCAACCACCACCTTCTATAAATGACATTGGAATCAACATAGTAAACATGAAGTCTCATAAACTGTGATGCCCAATTTCTCACAATAAATATACTCCTGATTGTTCTAAGCTGAAACATGTTCAAGGTATATACCACATATGTTATATACCAGACAAGGCACTTAGAATGTTCAGTGCCTGACAGTTTTTTAATGTCAGTGTTGAAACTGTGTGTGCATGTAACTCTATATAAATAGTTATCAGATATGGAGATCGAGATGGGAGATCAAGATTGAGATGGAGATTGAGATGGCAAGCCTGAAAATGACATACTCATTCCTTATGACAACTCTGAATATAAAATACCTAAAATCTACTTCAACACATCTGATTCTTCATGCCAATAATCTCTTTAAGGTGTTCACCTTACCTTCCAGCCTGTTACGCTGTATGTTTTCCCAGCACTTCCTATAGTTACTGTTCTTTCCCACATTCCAGGCAAAGTAGCTGTTTATTTTTAAAAACAAACCAACAAGAATTGCATATTTGTGGCGGTAACAGTATTTTACTGCAATGTGTAATTGTAGTAAAGTTTGCTTCATTATGTACAAATGAAATTGGTAGTTACCAAGATTATATCCTGTTATCTACATTTAGACATATAGGTAAGAATACACTTATAACAGAGTGGTATACATTATTAACTTTGTGGATCAGTCAGATGAACTTTCAGTTGTGCCTTCTGGATTTAGAGTAATCTTCTGTAATTCTTCCTGATGCAGTAACCAAATTCCACAGGAAATTGTGCAGTACCAATTACCCTGGAACTACATGTTACATGTAACAGGAATGCTATCAAAATAACACCCTTCAGCACATAGCAGCACTTCTTCATGATGTGATATCAAAATACTGCATTCTGTGCGAGCCCTATTTAACTGATGCCACTTACTGACATGGGGGTAAATGTTGCTACATATATTGAGAAGGGGAGATCTTGATTTAGGGGTACTGTTATTTGGCAGCCTATGTATGTCTGTGGTAGCAATGCACACTGTCCCTAGGATAGTGCTAAAGCGCCATTTAGCAAAACAAAACAGGAGGTTCCCAGCAAATAGCTAACAACTCGTTCTAGAAGTGACAGCAGGGAGTCAGTCACAAAATCAGATAACTTGTACTGAACACATTTTGACACACCTTCTAGGAATTTAATTTTGGGACCAAAAACCAGGATCTTGCAAAAAAAATCGTAGTAGCAGCCAGCACATAAATGACACTCTAGCACTGTCATGTTAGCAGCACATTTCAACTGAAGAGGAACACTGCCCCATAACAGGCTCGTTGTATTATGCTATGCCATGCATTTTTATAGCCAAGCAGTTGCCAAGAACAACTAATACAGCAACGCACACATAGTACCCCAATGGGCACTATCCCTGTTGAGATGCTAGAAGAATCCTCACTCACAACATTCAGTCTTTAAATCTGTCAGTGGAACACTGATCATTATTCCTGTGAAGATCCCATTTTGCACAAGCCAAATAACAGACATGATGAAGTGTTCTACGCCAGAGGAAACTGTGTAGGCGATAGCATAAAGTCTATGCTGATTTTATGATGTATCACTGGCAACCCCTATTAGATAAGTGTTATAGAACCACCAGCAGATGCTGTAAATTGATGCAATATTCATTTTGCATTTTTCATGAGAGATGTGTCACTTCAGTTGATGGAATATGTGAAGCTTAATACAGCATAGCAACCTCAAGGGACAAGATTTGTGTTCTCTTCTCTGCATAATCTTTAAGTTATACAAGCAAGAGAAAGGAAGCTCCTTGGGAGAAAATGGTTTTGCTTAGTTTATACAATGACTGTCACTTGCATAGTTTCTGTGGTTTCTATGTTTCAACAACAGATTAGGAAACTGTTTATGTGTTCTCCTTAAACGTGCACAAGCAAATAAGCACTGTTGGCTAATAGCCATAGCCGTATTTCAATTATGCACATTCGCTTTTGTGCGGACTATTTGCCGTGCACTGAAAATGTCTTGTGTCCACCAGGAATCTCCTATTCCCAAGCAGCAGTCCAACAAGGGGTCGTGAAAGACGTGTTCACCAGCCCCTACACTCTAAGGTTCCTTAGAGGAATGATCATAAGGATATCGAACCTGTCCATTCACAGGAACACAAAACTGGTTTTAAGTGAATGTAAGACCCAGGGTATGAAAATATTGTCATCCATAGGAAATTACATGTCAGACAATTAAAAGGAAGATTTAAGGATTAAAGAATTTATTAATGTTGAAATTGACAACTGAAATTATTTTTGATAAAGTAATCCAGCCTTGTCATTCAGAACTATATCTACTCTACAGGATATTATTACCCAGCATTTCTAAAATGTGTTTATTGTACATTTTCTTGTTAATAAATGTAGATGTAAAAATTAGATCATGCAAGTGTTTGTAGACCAGAACCCAACATGTCAAAATGTTGGTGTTTACAGTAGAAGAATTAACACAGTGCTTTTTCAAACATTAATGTGATCAGCATCTGTATTAATGACTTGGAAAAGTTAGTAGACTAATTGAAACTATGATTATACAAAATTTGAACCAAAACCATTTTAGAGCGGAGATGGGGAAACTTTTTGCTCTACATGCCCTTCTGAAGAATCTTCTAGGGCCATATGCCAGTGGTGGATGACCCTTGCAAAAATGGATGGAATCAAAGCTAGAGTTGGCTAGCCCATCCCACATGCACACACATGCAGTTTCACACATAACATACATATAATACGCAGCCATTTAGTCATTAATTTATATATATATATATATATAGGTGCTTGCACACACATACAGGTACAACACCCATTCATACAAGATTTTCCCTACTCACACTGCAATTAAGCTTGAAAAAAGTCTTCCACTGCCACCAACTGAGTCTAACTGCTGCACAAGAGGGTGGTAGGGTTAGGCCTTGCCACCAGGACCAAGAAAGCAGACCTTGATCTAATCCTTCCTATGGATTTGCCCACAACTCCACTGGGTGTGTGCATGGTGGTAGTGGGGAGTTCCTCTGGCCCTTGTGTCCTCTGCCTGGCACTGGATGCAGCAGGAGCTTCTTCCCCTCCTGGGCCTCCTTGATCAGCCCTTTTCAGCTTCCTCTCCTTGCTTTTTGTTTCGTTTTGTTGTTTTTTGGGTGGGGGGGATTGCTCCAGCAATCCACAAGGTTTATTTTCCAGCACAAGGCAGGAAGAACAGGGAAACTCAGTTTTCTGAGGAGCTCAGATCAAGGTCTACCTTCCCATATACAGAGGTAGGCCTCTATAGCATTAGCTGGCCTCCTATACTTAGGGGAGAATGAACAATTGGGGTGAGAGATCCTGTCCACTGAAGCATGGGGAGAAAGGGTGACTCTGAACAAGAGAAAGAGTGTCCACGGCTATGTATTCAGGATCTTGGACAACTTACTTACACGCATAAGAACCTACCATATACCGACTCAGACCATTCCCCATCCAGCACAGTATTGTCAATTTTGACTGCAGCAGCTTTCCAGGTTTACGACGAGGTTTTTCTGACCCTCCTGGACATATTCGGAATCAAACCTGAGATGTTCTGCAGGAAAGCATGTGTTCTACAATGGAACCATACTTGTCTTTCAGCTTCACCAATTTGCCTTTCTGTGAAATGCGTATTTTATGAATGGTTCTACCCACCATGAGACACATTTTGTGACAGCCTACAGGACTTTTTAAAATTGCAAATGTGCACAGAAAGATTGGAGACCCCTGCAAGAACAGGCCGACAAATGATATATGTACACACGTCAGTGAATATGCCGGAACAGTTATGACCCTGAATTGAACATGATTTCTTTTCTTAGTTCAACAGCCATATCCAATACTGTTGAATCAAAAGCATTTAACTCTTACTAAAAAAGTAATGGACACTTTTAAATGATTTGTGATGGAACATTACTTTTGTAAAATCCATGTGATAAAATGTATAGGAAAGCTTCCTATCAACTACCATTAGTGCAACAAGCTATTCAGTACCTATTTTAATATGTTTATTGCCAGTGTAAATCAGCCATTCATACACTTCATCACTGATGCACAGAGCATCATATTTAATGCAGAGATCAGCAATTATTTGCAGTTCTTCTTTTGTATAAACCTAGATTAAAGGAAAAAGAAGACAGTGTACTGATCAGTATATTCTAAGTTAACACTGCTGTTGCATTCAACATGGGAATTTAAAAAAAAGGACTCTCACCTTCCCTATGGGATTATGAGGGGTGTTCAGTATAATAGCTTTTGTCTTAGAACTAAATTTGCTTGCAAGTTCAGTGGGATCCAAGGACCAGTCAGCACTAGATGCAGTGTTTCCAGCTGCAGGCTTCTAAGATATAGAAATGTATTATTTAATTGAAATGCAGTATTCTGAAACATATTCTGCTGACAGGTTTGTCACAAAAATCATTATACATGATGTTTATGGATTTTATCATGATGTAAATCTTCCAGAGAGCCTATGGCAAGTGGGGCAGCATATAAATCAAATCAATAAATACAGAAGGTATTAGTAAACCGCACATTAGTCTCACCAAACTGATGACTGAAAAGAAGGCCATTTAGTTGACATTCCAGTAAAAAAAAATTCTGAACTGATATTCTCTATATTTATACCATATTTATTCAAAATCAAATAAATGTTAAGTTGTTGAATTAAACACATGAAAATGCCTTATACCCTGGAGCTCCATGCACATTTGCTTCCATTCCAGCCTTTCCAGCCATATAGAGAGAATTTTCTGACATCAGAGGAATGTTGAATATGCTTAAATCCATCCTTCACCAATCTATTTAAATATTGATACACGGGTCAAATAAGTTAAGAGTCCCTAGAATGGGTGGAGGTAGGGAGGGAAAAATATCATCCCCCCCATTTAATAGCCTCAGAAATAAATTTACACTCAATTTTATTTCTAAAACAAAGTTGCCCCAATTTATTAGTTATCATAATGTGTAAAGATATCCAATGAGCTTATAAGAATCCCAAATTAGCATTATATAAATAGAACTTTATCATTGTTGTTGTTAGTTGCGAAGTCATGTCCGACCCATCGCGACCCCATGGACAACATTCCTCCAGGCCTTCCTGTCCTCCACCATCCCCTGGAGTCCACTTAGGTTCATGCCAACTGCTTCAGTGACTCCACCTAGCCACCTCATCCTCTGCCGTCCCCTTCTTCTTTTGCCATCTATCGTTCCCAGCATTAGACTCTTCTCCAGGGAGTTCTTCCTTCTCATTAGGTGACCAAAGTATTTGAGTTTCATCTTCAGTATCTGGCCTTCTAAAGAGCAGTCAGGGTTGATCTCCTTCAGGACTGACTGGTTTGATTGCCTTGCGGTCCAAGGGACTTGCAGGAGTCTTCTCTAGCACCATAATTCAAAGACCTCAATTCTTCAGCACTCAGCCTTCCTTATGGTCCAACTTTCACAGCCATACATTGCAACTGGGAAAACCATAGCCTTGACTATATGCACTTTTGTTGGCAGGGTGATGTCTCTGCTTTTTAGTATGCTATCTAGATTTGCCATAGCTTTCCTCCCAGGAGCAAGCGTCTTTTAATTTCTTGACTGCAGTCCCCGTCCGCGGTGATCTTGGAGCCCAGGAAAATAAAATCTGTCACTACCTACATTTATTCCCCATCTATTTGCCAGGAAGTGAGAGGACCAGATGCTATGATCTTAGTTTTCTTAATGTTGAGTTTCAAGCCAACTTTTGCGCTCTCCTCCTTCACCCGCATCAAGAGGCTCTTTAGTTCCTCTTCACTTTCTGCCATGAGAGTGGTATCATCTGCGTATCTGAGGTTGTTGATATTTCTCCCAGCAATCTTAATTCCAACTGGTGATTCATCTAGCCCCGCCGTTCTCATGATGTGCTCTGCATATAAGTTAAATAGGCAGGGTGACAGTATACAGCCTTGCCGAACTCCTTTCTAAATTTTGAACCAATCAGTGGTTCCGTGTCCAGTTTTCACTGTTGTTTCTTGACCTGCATATAGGTTTCTCAAGAGACAAATAAGATGGTCTGGTACTCCCATCTCTTTAAGAACTTGCCACAATTGGTTGTGAGCCACACAATCAAAGGCTTTAGCGTAGTCAATGAAGCAGAAGTAGATGTTTTTCTGGAACTCCCTAGCTTTCTCCATGATCCAGCGTATGTTGGCAATTCGATCTCTAGTTCCTCTGCCTCTTCAAAGTCCTGCCTGTATTTCTGGTAGTTCTTCGTCCACATACTGCTGAAGCCTAGCTTGTAGGATTTTGAGCATAAGTCAACTTCAGCCTCTTCAGCACCAGTGGTTGGGGCATAGACTTGGACTATTGTGATGCTGAATGGTTTACCTTGGATTTGAACTAAGATCATTCTGTCATTTTGGAGATTGCATCCCAGTATTGCTTTTCCTACTCTTTTATAGACTATGAAGGGTACTCCATTTCTTCTGAGGGATTCTTTCCCCCAGTAGTATACCTGATGGTCATCTGAATTAAATTCACCCATTCCTGTCCATTTTAGTTCACTGCTTCCTAAGATGTCGATGTTCAGTCTTGTCATCTCTTGTTTGACCACATCCAGCTTGCCTTGATTCATGGATCTTATGTTCCAGGTTCCTATGGAGTATAGATCTTTGCAGCATCGGACTCTCCTTTCACCACCAGATACATCGGCAACTGAGTGTCCTTTCGGCTTTGACCCAGTCGCTTCATTCTTTCTGGCACTACTAGTACTAGCCCTCTGCTCTTCCCCAGTAGCATATTGGACACCTTGCGACCTGAGGGGCTCATCTTCCAGAGTCATATCTTTTTGTCTTTTGGTACTGTCCATGGGGTTTTCATGGCAAAGATACTGGAGTGGGTTGCCATTTCCTTCTCCAGTGGATCACATTTTGTCAGAGCTCTCTGCTATGACCTGTGAGTCTTGGGTGGCCCTGCACGGCATAGCTCATAGTTTCATTGAGCTATGCAAGCCCCTTCGCCAGGACAAGGCAGTGATCCATGAAGGAGGAACTTTATCATTACCATCCCCATAATGGTTTTAAAGCAATACTGTTACAGAGAAAAGCACTCAAGGTCTACTCAGGATGAATAAATTAACCAGCTGTCCCAGCTTCCCCCAGCTCCATTCTAAAAGTCTTAAAATACATTATAAAAGTCCATTTTCTATATTGGATTCTATAATTTAATCCAAGGGTTTCAGGTGGCATTGCATTTACTCACAACACATGAGAGAGGAGGAAGAAAGACGTTTCCTTCCTAATTATTCTTTTCTTAATGTCTAAAAGAAAATTCTGCATATTATAACATTCCAAACATACTCACATATCTCAAAGGTATAAAAACAGGCTTAGCTCCTGCCATCCTCACCATTGGCTCATAACAGTCAAAAAAAGGTTCTATTATTATCACCTAAAATAAAAATTAAGAATGATATATGCATGAGGAATTAAAAAGAGATATGGGAGCTTTTTCAGGGACAGAACTAACATTTGGTTCTGATACAACAGTAGTTCTACAATCAAGGAAAACACTTTGCATTAAAACGATTGTGGCAGCAAATATTGACAGCATTTTAGATACCACATATTCTCATAGCTTTTACTATTAAACAATAGAACCATTACTATATTAGAATGATGGAAAAATGTGGGGTAAGATAGGAAAAGGTGTAGAATGTAAGAGAGAGTGAGAGAATGCAATGGATTCATTCTGTGTGCTTTGGTCAACAGGAAAGAAAGGAAAGTTTACAGAGATGAGAACAGAACAATAAAGGATATTGAAGGAATGAAAGACGTAAACAAAAACTTAGAAGAAAAATATGAAAAGGTAACTACAACTTCATTACGAGTTTTACTCCAAATGAGATCATTTATTTATTTAGATTGAGAGCCCATTCCTTTCTTGAGTTTACTAAATTTATTTGTAAAATAACCGTTCCTGCTAATGACAGATGGATGTAATCTGAGGTAGAAGGCCTGGGATCAAAGTTGGAAAAATATTTCAAATGTTGAGAAGTCAGCATCCACCCAAATAACCAGATTTTTTTCCAGTCTGAAATAGGCTGGGGAGATAATTTACAGTAGGTTGAAAACTAAGTGGTAAGTAGCTGGAAAATCCACATCATTAACTTGGTTGTTTTTGTGTTTTTTTTAACTAGCCCTGATTTTGTGCTTCAATGGTTTTTCTATTTCTTTATATCATTGCCAAGAAATCATTCACCTGTTCGATCAATGTGTGTTTGAAGGCACAGAAGTGTTTAAAAAATGTATCAGTCCTAGTCCATTCATTATGTTATAAAATTAAGAAAAACAAGAATTAATATTTTTCATAAAATAAAGAAACAAAATGTTATTTTTATTTTGGGGTACCTCACAAAACTTACTTCATCTTCAACTTCAATGAGTCCCTGTATTGCACTGAACAAAGATCCATATCCTCCTACTGTCACCAGAATGTCAGTGAAGGGGTTGATCTTTTTTTTACACACATTTTCATACACTTGGGACAAGACTTTCACCAACGGTGGATGTCCCTATATACATTTTTACAAGAGAAAATAATACACAGTCAGACTTAGATGCCACTTAATGACAAATGAAACAACACAGTGTCATATACCAGCAGCATGTACTATGGCTAATGTACAAAACATAGAGTAGCTGAATTATATATTATGTCTAGGAATAAGAGTCAAACACATATAGAGACTGTCACAACATCTAACAAAGTACACTGAGCTAAATAAAACATTACAAAGTAGGACACAATTCACATGGAAGTTCTTCTATGGAGTCAGCATCCCACTGAATAGGAATCTTTGGACAAGATTACAAGCTATAAATTGTGCCCACAGTTAGTCAGTAAGACTATGATAGTGCCCCTTTTAAGATAAAAAATAATGAAATACAAAGGTTCATAAGGCTTGTAAGTTGTACTTTATTCCAATAACAGTTACATTGCAGTTCATGATTCACTTAAATAGGAATAAATAATCCAAAACAACTAAAACTTAGGTAGCAGGAATAGCGATTAATATACATTTTCACTTTATCTTCTGAACAGCATCTGCATTCCCATGTAACTCTCAACTCTGCTTGCCACATAACAGTGCCCTTCCAACTACAAAGGGCTATGTCAAAATATGGCTAGAGTAGGGGTATCTGGCTCTGCTCGGGGCACAGTAGCCTGACAAGTCAGGAAGCCACAGTAAAAAGTGAAGCAAGAACCTGGTGTGAGCCAAGATACACTAGGAGATGCAAGGCAAATAGGAACTAGTCTGAAGAACTGTTTTCAAAAACTGTCTGAGCTATAAGTGTTTCAGATTTTATGGTCACCCTACTAAAATCTGTACTGCTGAAGGGAGAAGACATTAAACTTATAAAATAAAACCTAATGAAAGATAAATGCTTTATTAAACAACTGTAAGATGAATCTGAACACAGTTCTGCAGTAGTTGGCTTTTAAACAGGAAGCAAATGTGCATAAAAAAGAAATAATGTAGCAATAAGTAATCCAAAAGGTTCTTTGAAATATCAGGTAATTGCTTAATTGACATACTTAACAAGCAGTGAGATCAATTTCATATTCACTATTTTCCTATCTTTGTAAAATTTCCCTCTCTTATTAGCCATTTATTTCCAGTGAATTTTACTAAGTATTTTCTTCCTTATCCTTATTATCATCAGGAAACCAGGCACAGTACAGTGCTGGACTGGAAATTGAAGCGATCCAAATTCAAAGTCCTGTTTAGTCAACATGATCTCTGGATGACTTGGCCAGCAGCCTAACTTATTTTAATACAATGTAAGGAAGAATGCAATGGGAATTGGCTACAGTCACAGTAAACCATGGTTTCCTATTATAATAATAAGCCACAATGTTCCTCAAGTTTGTACACATACCATTCTTTCTCTGGTGCAGCTGCAAAGAAGGGAACAGCATCTTCCACTTCTGTTTTAGAGTAACCAGTTCAGCATTATATCTGAATCCAGAGGGTGGTTAATCTTAATTCACAGTCTGAAAATGCCTTGTTTTAACATACAAAATAGATTAACCACAGTTTAGATGTCATGAGAAGCTGCAAATAATCTAAAACAGAAACAAAAGCATATGAGCCAAAGGCTCACTGCAGCTTGTCCATGTAACCCAAAGCATGGTTTAGTGTTATGTGTAAACAAGGCCAAACTGTACTTCCCTGTATCTGAAATGTGCTATAGAAAAGAAAAATAATATTTCATTAAAAGGTTTTAATAAATTAAAACATTCAGTTCAACTTTTTCTATGCATAGTCCTTTTTGAACCACATTTACATTGAGAACTGTTTAGATGTTTATGGACACAGACTGTGTTTCTATTTATCATAAATCCTAAGGAGTGACGTGATAAAAACTTAGTTCATGCAGCTAATTTAAAACAACTGCTCTTAAAAACGATTTACTCACAAAGCCTCGTGTGTACTGATTTAGCCTATCAACAGATGATGCTTTTGCTAATTCTTCTTTTACATAGTCAGGAGGAGATATATCTGGAAGGCCTTGTCCAAGATTAACAACGGAAGGGTCTGCAGCCAACTTGGTAAATTCGACCCTATGAAAGGAAAAACAATATTGCAACAATATGTATCATAAAAAAATTACAAGGAAAAATATTCCAAATCCACAGTTAATTAGAACAAAACATAGAACAAATGATCCTCAAAGGGTTGAACAGCTATCCCAAAGGTCTAACTGCCAAAGCTCATGATGCAAGGCCCCGCTTGGTGACACTACCAGATTAGGCCTAGGTGTTATAAGCGATATATAACTGTTGTCAAAATACCTCTCATTTTTCTTTCATAAAATAGCCTTAAACTAAGCCAACATGACCTTAAGTCACAATCCATTGGCCCCTAATATTCACACAATGGAAGCTTAGTTACTTAATATACCATTTAATCAGACCTTGAAGCCCTGGCAAAGATGCACTGCAGATTCTACAGTTGCAGAACCAGAAATTATCATGACTGTTGATCAAAAGTAAAGGAGGATCTCTTAACCAAAAAGGGAGATGAAAAAGGAAATTCATGCATACTAAGGGAAAAGGTAGGGAAAGAGCACGCAAGTATGAGCACGCAATCCAAAATATGAATTGTCATTGAGAATGTAAGAAGATCCATGCTGTATCAGACCAAGGGTACATCTAGCCCAGTGTCCTGTCCACACAAGAGCCACCTGGCGCTGATGGGTGTCAATGCCATCCTGGGGTCGATCAGTGTTGGCACTGATGGTTGCCCCGGCACTGGATGATGTCTCCTCAGTGTCAGTCAACATCGGGGTCATCCTGGCACCTGCCCTCGCAGTGTGGGGTGTCCATGTCAGCCAGGTCATTTGAGTCACTGGAGTATTCTACGGGCTTCTCAGGGTAGCTGGGGGCCGAGAATCAGTTGGTGTTACTGTCCCAATTGATGCAGGGAGAGCAGGAAGGCTCTTTTTGTCCCCTTGTGCCCAACCCTGGCGTCAAGAGTGGGATTGTGGGCTGCTTGGGCATAGGGCCCCTTGGGCATGAGGCCATTCAGCAGAGTTGGCATGCGAGGCCAGGACGTGGAGGAAGATAGAGATGGGTTGCAGGAGTGAGGGCATGGACGGTGATCTGGCAATCACTCCTCTGGCTCACCCATCATCATGGTAGGTTGTTCCATGATTCGTTGCAGGGTAGTTGGGTGGCTAATGGTGGTTGGGGAAGCCATGACTGGAGATTCCGAGTGCTGCTTCCGACTCACCCAGCGCTGCTTCTTTTGAGACATGTGGCCATTTTACATCCTTCATTGTCCAGCGGCCCTTGGAGGTAGAGGGGCACTCCAGGTCTTGTGTGGCAGAATCAGCCACCTGGAGGGCCCTTGTCCGCAATTTGGCCTTAAGCCGATTGGCCCACTGGTGGCACATTGTTGTTTGAAGGCCTGACAGTAGGCACAGGGCTCCACAATATGTTCCTCACCAAAGAAGAAGAGACATAGAGAATGGCCATCAATAGGTGGTAGTCTGGCCTTGCAGGAGGCACTGCTACGGAATGCCACCAATTCCATCATGTAGATGGAGTGAGCAGTGGAGAGAAGGTCAAGAAAAAAAATAACAGATGGCAAGGGAACTTAGGAGCAAGATACAAAACATGGGCAGAAATGTGTGTGTGTGTGTGTGTGTGTGTGTGTGTGTGTGTGTAAAGAGTGAAAATGGGTCAATGATTACGAGGATGGAAATGGGAGGCACAATTTAGTTGCTGAATTTTCATCCAACCATGGAAGCTGCAGGTCACGTTTATTTTATTTTGATGCTGTGACAATTTGATTTCTGTACATCAACAAGATATTAAAAGTACAAAGATAATCAACTCTGGTTCTTTCCACAGATACACCTATTCACCTGGTAGCATAGTTAAAAAACATTTAACTCAGCCTACAAAATATATAAATAACTTCAATATTTATTCATTTGCTCACTTTCATTAATTATTACTTACCATACGTTGCTATCAAGCCCTTCAATTCGTTTTGCATTTTTGTGCTTGAAGGTCATGGTCTACATACAAAAATCAAAGATAAAACAGGCTTTTTGTTAGAACCTCAAAGTATCGTATTGCTAGATGTAGTGGTGGTGTGTGACATTTATTTTTCTGTAACAACTCCTACAGCAGAGCACCACGGATGAACTGACAGATACTGCATACACAGTTCAAACTAAACCCATTCTTTGAAGAAGTCTGACTAGCTCTCAATGTATACAAGGAAAACAATAATAAGTGCCAAAATTCAGTGTTATTTCTATTCAAACCCAATACTACAAAGCCAGAGTATCACAAATGCATGTTAGAGCACAATATTTTAGTACCTTACTTGCTTGAAAATACCTCTTTCTGCTTTTCAAGGACAGTTACGGATACAATGTAACTCACAGAGCAAATGAATAACAGCTTGTACAGTAATAAGCAACCTATCACTATAGGTTCTTCCCCTCATTACATGGATAGATTTGGTTTTATGCTCTGTCCTTTCTATGAAGAAAGAATCCAGTACACCAGTTGTACAATCCAGCAGGCCCGGAAAAATAACAGCTGAAAAACTTTTATGCACTTTCCCAGTGGAAAAAATGTTTCCTGTTATCAATATATTAAAAACTAGTTATTTACATTAAATATTATGAGCATTAGCAAAATACCAAAATGCCTATTATAGTAAAAATTTAAAAAAAATTATTCTACCATTTTTCCCAATTAATTCTGCTATACCATGATGTGATCCTAGAGAAAATGAATTTATCCATTCACCAAGTGACACAACTGTAAAAGGGATCAATAGCTAAATGTTCTTCAATGTACTGTGTTAGCTTTGGTACTCCATATACAAATATGGAACTTCTCAGATCTCGGACTGCTTCATACACGGCTTAGAAACAAATATCAAATATTTTGTTTATGAAGCTTTATTCTGAAAAGGCAAACCTATCATCACCACATTCTGGACCTCTCCCTTGCCTAACTTCAAAACAGCTTTTTTCAAATATTTGTGGCAGTACTGAGCTGCTGCACAGCTAGTACTGGAGAGGAGAGCTCAACCTGGAATTATATATATGTTTAATACTTGGAGGCTCGTAAGAAAACACACTACTATCAAACTCCAAATGCTTATAGCAAACAGCTGTATAATTCAGGTATTCTTAAAGCTTTTTCTTGACTATTCCCGTTTTGATGGATTCCACAGAATCCTGTGTTACAGGACAACTCAAACACAGAGGAACAGGACCTGGGTGAGGGGTATGCAAAAGGAGAGTACAAAGCAAAAGCTGTTGAAGCATCTACCATTACTTTGGTTTTTTTTCCTTTTTCTTTCCTTTTGTCTTTCTTGAGAGTCAGGCCAAAGCTCATGACACTTACTTGGTAGCATTTACTTCCACTTAAACATGCACACCAGGCTGTTACTGTTGTAACATAGTCTGACTCTATGCAAATTTACTTAGAATGAAGTCTCATCTAATTCAATGGAAGTAACTTGCAAGCACTTTCCAAAAGTGACAATTAAAAATGCCAAATAGATGAGTTTTACATGATTCAACAGTGTGATGTACATCCAATAATAGTAGCAGGGCAGGGGATTTCTTTTAGTAAAGAGATTCCTTAAGCCAGTTGAGAAATATGCTCTGTAAGATGTGATAAGTTAGGCAGTGATGACAGCCAAGCAGCTGAGATGTCTAGCCTGTAACATATAGACTCCAAACTGTGGCATTTCAAGCAGCAAGCTTAACTACACTGTTGGTTTTCAGCACGCCAGAGCTTTTGTTTCACTATGAAAAATATGCAAAGCCTAATTAAGGGTTTTTTAAGCTGTCTTTTTAGGATTCAAAACTGCTCTACTGAGAAGCTTATTCTATTCTCATAATTATTCTAAATTCAAATTAATTTGCACTGCAACAAATTGATCAACCTGAAAAAAATTAAAGGCTGAATGTCTAGCTGCTTCAAGTACATGAAACAACATTGTGATATTAATCATACATATCCCCTTGAAAATAATAATGAAAATGTTCAGCAGTGCTGGAAAAATCCAAGTAAAAATCAAAAGTGGTAGCAATCCCTGGCCAGAAAAACACTATACAAGAAAAAAATTAGATGGAGAGGAAAAGAAAAACCAGGACTAATTAATTCTCCAAAAACTATAGAACATGAACTACATAAAAAGAACTAATAGATGAGTGCATGTCTATGTCAAAAGTAATTAGGATTTCATTTAAAAGGGTAGATTTGAGTTATGTCCTAATGAAATGAAATTAAGGCAGGCTTCATTAAAGACTGTGACCACATTCTCATTAACTAAGGCAGAATTCCAGCTTAGAGTTGAACTGACCAAGTGTCACATTGCTCCTTAGAGATTTAGCACATGGGAAGAACAATCTTACAGCCCTTAGGCAGAGTCTTGCCAGCCACAAGACTTTGTATTCCCATATCTGAGCTCGGAAAAGAGTGCCAATCGGAGGGTCTATATCCAGATCACCCTTCTCACACCATCATAAGCAGCACAGAAGAACGATATTGTCTGCTTCTCTGAGATCATAACACTGACCTTGGAAAAAGGTTTATGGGGCAGTCTCAGTGAAAGGGAAGACCAGCATCCTTCTTTCCTCCCCAAAGCACCAGAAGTAGACAGCCAAAATGGGTTATTTAGCTGCTTTGCAGAATGGGAAGAATATGGGAGTAATCTTTGATGATGTTCTACCGATATTAATATATAACCCCTCTTGACTGGAAGCAACAAGAGCATTTGGCAATGCTGGCAAGCAAAACAAACAATGTAAGCCTAAGCCAATATCTAAATTCAGGATAACTTCATTAGTGACACCAAAATAAATTTAACAAGATGTGCATATAGTTACTTAATCTATGAAGTGCAGGAATACATACTGGACAGAGCGAAAACCTGAAGCATCTCAAAGGGTAAGTTATCTTCAGCAGTGATGTTTTAATGCCAAGCCACTTGAAGCATTGTTGCGCAAAGAACATGCCTGCATAATAGTAAGTTTTAAGAATATGAGACAATGGGATAATTGTGCTGAATACAAAGTATGCAAATGTTCTTTAAGCAATTCAAAATGGGCAATATATAAACATAATACTTGTTTACATTATACATCTTGGTGATCAGCTAGCCAATACTAAAATAGATGGACAAATACATATCAACACAAAGGCAACAAACTAAGAAATGGATTTTAAGAGAGGCAAGGGTCTAGGTAGGCTTGTATGGATGTACATTACTTAAAGAGTTTCCCAAATGCCTGACCATGTGACCACGTGGTTTAGAACAGAAATTTTAATACAATTACCACAGTTAAAACTTGATCAAGTACCTTCTCCCTGATCAACCTGTCTAGTCACTGAGGTCATCTGGTAGGATGGCCCTGTGGTTCTATATGGACCTATGGCCCAGCCAGAATCTGCCTGGAATATAGCTGTCAACCTGGTAGCTTCCTTTCTGTGGAACTCCCAGTCTCTAAAGGTCAGGCAGGAACGAATATTGACTGGGCTCACATCACATGCCAAACCACCATGGCTTTGAATAACTGCAATCCTCCTCTTATCATCATCATCATCTTCATCATCATCATCATCAAGATCATCAGGCTCTGATCATACTGACATCTACATTTTATTCTAATGTTTATATTTTTAATTTATGACTCTAATTATTTAACTTATTGATGTAAGCCGCCCTGAGGCTTCAGTGAATGGGGCGGCATAAAACTGTTTTAATAAATAATAAATAAATAAACAACATAAGCCAGTGGTGACAAACCTAGGACATGCATGCCAGAGAGGGCACGCAGAGCCCTCTCTGTCAGCATGCAAGCCAAGTCACTCCAGCAATGCTCCAGCAGCCGAGCATCGGATAACAGTGTACATGGGGGCCATGCGCATGCTCGGAAAGGAGCAGTGGTGCCAGGCAATGATGTCATAAGCCGTGACTCATGAGCCATGATTTGTCCGAACTTTTGCATGGCTGGTCAGTGTGTGCCAACGATATATATATATTTGCTTGGAATGGCTGTGAGTTGTTTCTGCTAAACTAAAACCTCAGTTTTCAGGTTTTATTGCAGTGTTAGCACTTTGCAATAAATCAATGGGTTTTGGGTTGCAGTTTGGGCACTCGGTCTCTAAAAGGTTCGCCATGACTGGGTTAGGGTTAGAAAAACAAGATGTCCTGGTATGATTCTGATGGTTGGAATGTGTTTAGAATGAGCAGAAATGATGACCTGTGCAGGAAAAGCTACTCAAGGAAGGCTTTTTCAAAACTGCCCCTTTCAATGGAACTTTCGGCCTGTATTAGGGTTAGGGGTGTGTACCAGGGTAGGGTTAGGGTTACAAAAATGTGGTGTTGTAGTATGATTTTGATGGTTGGAATGTGTTTAGAATGGGCAGAAATGTTGAGCTGTGCAGAAAAAGCTACTCAAGGAAGCCCTTTTCAAAAGTGCATTCTTTTCAATGGTATTTTACCTCTATACTAGGGTTAGGAGAGTGCACCAGGTAGGGTCAGGCCAGTGGTGGCGAACCTACGGCACCGTATAGAGCCCTCCCTGTTGGCATGCCCTCCAAGTCGCCCCAGCATCGCCCCAGCAGCCAAGCATCAGATAACAGTGCACACAGGAGCCATGCACATGCTCGGAAAGGAGTAGTGGTGCCAGGTGATGACATCACAAGCTGCAACTCATTAGCCCTAACTCATCGGAGCTTTTGCATGGCAGGTCAGTGCACTGCCAAGTTATACATATATTTGCTTGGACTGGCTGTGAGTTGTTTTTTCTAAAGTAAAACTTCAGTTTTCAGCTTTTATTGTAGTGTTGGCACTTTGTGATAAATAAGTGGGTTTGGGGTTGCAGTTTGGGCACTTGGTCTCTAAAAGGTTCGCCATCACTGTCATAAGCCTTCCATTTTGCCAACCTGCTCTTTTGCTTTTTGTAACATGTTGACTGATGAATAGATCTGGAGATGTCAAAAGCTAGAACACTTTTATTAATTTTTATTTGGCCTAATAAAAGTATTATCATGCTTCCAGATGGTTTGTTCAACTCCTATAAGCCTAGTCACAATGGTCAATGATTAGGAATAGTGGGAACCATAAGTGAAAACAATGCACAGCCAATAATTTGGGGAAGGCTTTATTACACTATATCGTTTTTGGGATTGTTTGAATGGCTAACAGGCCTTCTTTTGGTTTTGGCTTAAAATATTATTTATTTATGACATTTCTATACCACCCAATAGCCAAGGGGAAGTTCACAACTATTAATCATAATTGCAAACATGTGCTCTCATTTCTGAAATGTTCAGGCTGCTTTTCTTTGCAAAGAAATACATGGTGCAGAAAACACCTTCACTAGTGATCATGCTGCATCACAGCTAACATTATGAACAGCTAATGAGAGTTAGGGACTGGCAAGTCACCAGACACGGTTTACAGATCCACCAGGTGACCTTTTGCTCCTGTTGTAGCCATAGGAACTACCTGGTCCCTGTAACTGGTTCAGAGTCAGTGCTCTCAATTTAAAGTATACGAGGGGAGTTCAATGTATTCTCGGTATCAGCATGAAGAAAAAGGAATAATACATTGAAATAATTTTTATTGTTCAATGTAATCCCCCATAACTTCCATATACTTATTACATCTAGAAATTAACTTTTCAATTCCCTGTAAAAAATACCCTTCCTCCTTGTCTAAAAAAATGTGCGTTAATTGCCGCCTTGAGCTCTTCATCGTTGGAAAATCGCTTTCCACAAAGATCTTTTTTTAAATTTGGGAATAGGTAGTAGTCACTGGGGGCCAGGTCCGGGCTATAGGGTGGGTGGTTTATTTCTTCGAAACCACAGTCTCGCACAGCAGCTTTCGAAACATGCACCATGTGAACGGCCGCGTTGTCGTGAAGAAGCAACACACCTGCGGTCAGTTTTCCCCTTTTTTCTTTAATTGCTTCTCTTAAATTACACAGAGTGGTTGTGTAAGATGCTGCGTTTATGATTTCACCTTTTTTCGTGTACTCAATCAATAAAATTCCCTTTGAGTTCCAAAACGCTGTGGCCATGATTTTTCCGGCTGATGGAGTGACTTTGAATTTCTTTGGCGGTCAGCACCTTTTTTATGCCACTGCAAGGACTCCTGCTTACTTTCAGGGTTATAGTGATGAACCCAAGCTTCATCTCCAGTAACAATCCAGTCGAAAATACTCAATGGATCTTCACCACAGAGCTCTAAAACTGCCTACAGCACTCGCCTTGCACTTGTTTCTGAGGCGCCATGAGCATTCACGGCACCCATCTTGCACAGACCTTGGAAAGGTTAAGATGGTCATGAAAAATAGTAAATATGGTACCAACAGATAGGTTTGTCATCTCTGCTAACATTATGATTTTAATTCGGGCATCTTCCAATATACGTTTCTCAAATTTTTTCACATTTTCTTTCATAGTGGCAGTAACTAGCCTGCCTGAGCAAGGGTTGTCTTCAGTGCTTTCTCTGCCCCTTTTAAATTCACTTGACCACTTTTGAACAGTAGATAATGAAGGTGCAGAGTCCTGGTAAACGGCCACCATCTCTGTGAATGATTTTTTAACTTTTTCCTTGTTTTGTAAGGAACTTAATCACAGCGCAGTGCTCGATTTTCTTCAACATTGTCATGTCAGTCATCATGGTCATCTTTCACTGAGGATTACTAGGGAACTAATGATCACTTATTGGAAATTTTGCATGTTTACCCTCAGATAGTGTCATTAGCTAATGAAGTAATTAAATTACCCACATCAATAGCAAATCAACCTGATACCGAGAATACATTGAATGTCCCTCGTATTTCTATGGTTACAGAAGCCAATGAGTATGCACATTTATTTAGGAAGTTACTAAACAATAAATTGATTTTTTAAAGTATAAATAAATTATTTAAATATGTTCTTAAATCAGAATTTAAATCTTCTGGATTTAAAGCAGGATGAATAGTTTAAATCCATCCTGATGGAAATTATATATGGTGGACAACTACAAGCACAAGAGGTATTGCCCAGTGTAGATATAAGTATATAGCAGAACACAACTTTATTACAGTCTTAGTGGACTTCTAAAATTATTCTGAATAAAAATCTTGATTTTATAGTTAATTCAGGGTGTGGACTAAATTTCTGTACTCATTTTATGCCTGCACTCATTTAGAGCTGGGTTCTAGTCCCCACTAGCCATGGGGTTAAATGACTTTGGGCCAGTCAGACTCTCAGCTACCTCAACCTACCTCACTGGATTATTGTTATGAGGATAAGATTGAGAGGACAATTATGTAAGCTGCTTTGAGTTCCTTGAAAGAAATGTTAGAATATAAATATAATTAAAAATATTTTTGTCATTATTCTATAAGCTCCCATGTTTATGCAATGGTAGATTCTATAATCTAGATCAAAAATAAGTTTAATAGTCTTGGTGCTCTGTTCATATGTACTAACAGAAAATGGGAGTTATGTTCCATCATTCAACAAATGATTTATAAGTTAGAAAAAGAATCTGTTCACTGTCCCCTCCAAGTATGACAGTGTAGTTAAGGTTCAAATGCATCAAGGAGCAACTAGATGTTATATTAAATATTACAGATATCACACGCATTCCTCTAAAAATCACTTCCCCAACAAGCATTGCATATAACAATCATGCATTACAAAATAAAGTTTGGTAGGAGTGCACTCTCCTACTGAAGAGCACTCTCCCTGTGCCCCAAATTCTCTTGACACAAAACTCTGGCTTGTCTCTCCCAAACAACCCTGAGTCAGAACCTGAAGCAGAATTCTGGGTTCTGATGTCATGCTAAACAGCCACAAGACAGGGTGCCACTGGGTTATTTAGCTGGCCCAGCAAACAGGGAAGAGTTAGTCAAATGGGAACAAATGAGCTGGGTGAGCTAGCAGGCTGGCTTATTCACAGTAACTTCTGTTGCTAATAAAATAAAAATCTGGGTGACCATGCTATGAAAACCTGTCAGAGTTAGAGATTACATACTAAACAAAATGCATGCAAGTCATTGTGCCAGGTAAGAAGGGTTTAAATATTAGGTCACTACCAAATAGTGGTGAAAACAGGGGGGGAAATGGGGAAAGGGCAAAAGTACATTATGGGAGTGAAAAAATAGAAGAGTGCTTTTCTTTCAAGTAGCCTCAGGAATCTGGTAATGGGAGGGGGTGCAAACTACTACTTAAGAAGGGGAATTCTCCACAACTTCTCTGAGCCACCTATATGAGCTGCAGAGATCCTTGAACATTTTGACATGACCCCAGTTTGTATTATGTCACCACCTTAAAAATATCCTAAACTGTTCTGAATTGAGACACATCCCTTCTGTAACATCCCTTCTGTAACATGTTCGAAGATAAAATTCACATCGCTTTTAAAACCTTGCCTCCTGAGAACTGTAGGTGTGTAATGATAATTCAACCGAAAAGGAAAGCATTGAGGACAGCGTGTTTATTTTTCTCAATGTTCTCCTGTTAATTCCTCAAATCCTTTTGGCAGTGAGTAAAGTTGCACATTTAAAGGATGGCAGCGAGCAGCCGGTTAATGTAGGATATCACATCTGCTTTGCAACAGTTTTAATTTCGGAACGAGCAGGACGCATTCCACACACGCTAAGTTTTGTTGTTTTAACGCTTCGAAGCTGAGTCCTGGCATTCCAGCAAGTCCTGAGCAGGATTGCCTAGGCCAAATCACTCCCCGTGTCCAGCAAAGCGGGGATTATTTGTGTTATTAACCCCGCTGGCCCTTCGTGTTCTCCCAGAGGTGGAGAACTTCACCCCCGCTACAAAGTCTACCGGCCCTGCCCACCTGCCTCCGCCTCAGGAGGCCGCAAGAGACGCCCCCCAGGGAATCTTCTCGCGCACCGCTCGGAACCGCCGGCTTGTGCAGCGACCAAAGGCCCTTTGAGCGGGCGTAACTGAAGGGCAAACGGCGGCCTCCCGGCCTCTGAAGGAGCCGCTCCATGGCATGCTCGCGGACGCGTGAAGAAAACCATCTGCTCGCTTTCAGCCACAGCTCGTCGACCTACCTCGCTCGCGTCCACTCCCTTCCCCGGATATGGCGTGTCCTTTCCAGACGAGAGGCGGAGAACCCCGAGCGCGGGGAGTGGTTAGCTAGGCCGCGGCCGGAGCCCCTTCCTTTTTTGCCGGAGGCCCTTGCCGGTTTCAGCCCGACGGCTTTCCCGGGTCAGTACTGCCTCGCATCCCGTCACGCGGCATCTTTTCCATCCCCGCACGTGTCACTGTCCAGGTGTAAAGTTTCTTCTGAGTCGTAACACTTCAGCGCACGAGGCGTGCATGTGTGTATAGTGGCTCTATTCAATCCAAGGTTAGTCCTTCTTGGAGAACCTATTGAAATGAATGGGCCTTGAGCGAGACATACATTCCTTTCATTTTAATGGGTCTTCTCTAAGTAGAATTAATGCTGGCTATTAGTATAGCCCTGTCAGTGGACGGCGTGTTCGTGCACTCTATTTTAATAAAAAATCTGGTCACTGCGCGAACATATCTACGTTCAAACCAATCGTCTCTTGCAAGCTATTTTTAAGATGTGGCAGGACTACCTGCAAGCTGATGTGCCCCCGCCCAGTGAAAACCTTACTAGGTGCGTCTAGTAGTGATCGCGCACTGTCCCGTACCACTTTCACCCAGGGATAGGCCATCTCATCCCGCTGGATGTTTTGGACTACACTTCCCATAATTCCTGCCCATTTGCCAACCTAGCACATTGACACTCTAAACCTGTAGTGTGGAGCGGAATGCTGACCTCTTTAGTTTCTTGCAGGAGATGCCAGCATCCTCAAGGAGTGGCGGGGAGGGAACCCAGCCTGCTAGCTCCTATTTGCACTAGGCTAAAACCCTGTGCGTGCTACTTTCTTAAAAGTAAAAGTCCCAATGGAATTAAGACTTCTAAATAAAAACATACACAAATTTGAGCAGCAAGACTAATGAGCCACACTGCTTTCTTTTTCTTTCTTTCAAAGTTTCAGTTTGCTCTGGAAGGTAAAAGAAAGCAGTGCCTTCTGCTCGGCATATATTGATTGCATACAGGGAGGCAATCAGTTTTGGAATACTCAGCTAGAAGCTAAAACTGAATCGGGACTGTGAGAGCATTAAACCATATTACAATAAATTATAAATAGAAGGTCCATTACTTCTTGCACATACAGAGGGGTAAAGGTTCCTATTATTTTGACATTCCAACATGGCAGGTATGTATGAATATAGGGAGACAGGAAAAAAGTTCATATGAAAATGTAATGTAAATATATAGTCTAACAATCATGTTACAGCCCAAATGTATGTAAAATAATCAGTGATGGACCATTAACAACAGCAATAATTACTAACATTTAGAATCTAGCACTCCTAAGTTAATTAACATCCATAGTGGTATAGCAAACCATTATCACAATTGTAGCCAGAAGTGATAATGTGAAAGTAAAAATGTTGTTGTTAGTCGCGAAGTCATGTCCAACCCATTGCGACCCCATGGACAACATTCCTCCAGGCCTTCCTGACCTCCACCATCCCCTGGAGTCCACTCAAGCTCACGTCAACTGCTTCAGTGACTCCATCCAGCCACCTCATTCTCTGCCATCCCCTTCTTCTTTTGCCTTCAATTAGGCTCTTCTCCAGTGAGTCCTTCCTTCGCAGAAAGTGAAAATTGTTGTTGTTAGTCACGAAGTCGTGTCTGACACATTGCGACCCCATGGACAACATTCCACCAGGTCTTTCTGTCCTCCACCATCCCCAGAGTCCACTTAAGCTCACACCAACTGCCTCAGTGACTCCATCTAGCCACCTCATTCTCTGCCATCCCCTTCTTCTTTTGCCCTTTATTGTTCCCAGCATTAGACTCTTCTCCAGGGACTCCTTCCTTCTCATTAGGTGGCCAAAGTATTTGAGTTTCATCTTCAGGATCTGGCCTTCTAAAGAGCAGTCAAGGTTGATCTTCTCTAGGATTAACCGGTTTGATCGCCTTGTGGTCCAACGGACTTGCAGGAGTCTCCTCCAGCACCACAATTCAAAGACCTAAAGTGAAAATAAACACCATCAATTCTGCCTTTTTAAAAGATGCAAATATATATCTTTTAACTACATATTTAGAATCGTTTTTACTTGTGTTGTTGTTAAATACGGTTTCCTGTTGAATTTTGTTTTTATACTATTATGCTTCATTTTGTTGTACACGTTCTTAATGGTTTTTCCGGAAAGTAAGCATAACAATATTAATAAACAAACACATAATACTGTAATTCAACAGTTTCAATTTCCTCTTGAAATTCCTGTGTTCAGGAACACCCACTTTAGTGACAGACTAAATTCACACAACGTATCAGTTGTGTGTTGCTTTCCACAATGGGTCGTCATGTTGTTCCAACTTGCACCAATTTTCCCAAGTAGTTTGTGCATGAGCAACAAGCCACAACAACAATCCATAATTTGTTTTAGGGATTGTTATGCCCACTTTATTTTTTGATGCACAAGTAAGTACAAACTTTTTAAAAGATACCTGGCAGCCAGAGGCAAGTCCTCCAAAGTGCCACTGTGGCATTCTGATGGGACTTCTCATAGCTGTCATAAAGAGGATTGTGACAGCTGGCTTTCACAATCTCTTGCTCAAGAGTTGAAAAGCTGTGGCCAGGAGGTACAAGGAAGAATGAAGGGGCCAACAACCCACAATTTGTCGAGGCTCACTATGGGTTGTTCCCCAAATGCAGGATGGGTTTGAGGGATGTGTGAATGCACCCAAAGTGTTATTGGGAGTCTGAGATCACTGGGCCATCATTAGCCCTGATGTCAGATTCTACAGATGGCAGTCAATAAGATTTCACTTCTGTCACTCTCAAATTCTAGAGAATGCCCTCCCTCTGGAGTTGCAAATGGTCCTGTTTTCTTAATCCAGAATTGGTCAAAGACTTTTTAACTTAGCTTTCAATTTTGTTATTTTGGGGGGTTATGGGGCTTTAATGCTTTATTATAGGATTGCTGTTTTTACTCACTGGAGAAGACAATAATGCTAGAGAAAGTTGAAGAAGAGGAAGCCCAAATAGGAGATGGATCATTCCATAAAAGAAGCCACAAGAGATGAGCAGGGCTGTCAAGGACAGCCCATTTGGGAGGGCCTGTCATTCATCCGGTCATTGCTGGGTAGCCTGTTGTTTCTGTTGAGCAGTTCTTTAAAACAAGGGGCCTCTCTGCAAACAAGGACAGAGCCACTACCCAGGATTCATGAGAGGGAAGTATTGTTGTCCAAACATGGCCTGTAGTTCATGGATTGTACAGCTGGAAACTAATGAAGTTGTTCTAGACAAAGACTACAGTGTTTTAGATTAAATTAAACAACCCATGTAAGTGGTGTGTGTGTGTGTGTGTAAACATTATGAAACATTATTTAGTATGGCAAATAGTACTAATCTTTCCAGTTGGGGAAGAGAGGATAGTTCAGTGGGGAAAGACAGAAGTTTATGGTAAAGTACATACTTGGCGTTTAGCGTTTCAACCCCACCACCTCTAATTACAGAAGGATCTTGGGCAGCAGAACTAAGAAGACTTCCATCTAAAAACCTAGAGTGTCACAGTAAATCTTGACAATATTGGGCTAGATGGACAAATGGTCCAACTCAGCATAAAGTAACTTCATAAATTATCAGGATCTAAGTCCCTTTACTCGTCTTCAAGGCACATCTCCAAATTGTCCAGTAGAAGGCAGCATTTCATAAATAAGTTTTGATAAGGATTTTTGCTTTAAGAGGAAATATTTTTGAAAACTGATTTTCTTTTTGTTTATTGACATTAAAATATCGTGCATTGTTATTACATGCTACTTCTGGAAATTCTTACTCCTCAGGGAACTGGGCAGTTCTTATGCTTGTAAGGCAAAGTGATTTTGAGGATAAATGTCTGCAGTAACATACTTCTGAACATCTTCACTTTACTACTGGGTACAATAACCATGTTTTAAAGAGTAAAACAACATGTGTGGGCCCCGTTCTCTGAGTGAATTTATCTCTGCACCACCATTGTCACCAGCTGCTGCTCTTCTGTTTATTATCCCTGCGATCACCTGCTTGCTTGCTTGCCGGGCAGAGTGTGTAGGAAGTAACATTGCACAGGAAGTAGCATCTGCTGCTTCTCCTTTCTCGATGCCACCACAAATGGTTGGCCCAAGATGAGATCAGGGCAAAGAAGTAGGTGCAATGGTGAAGAGAAGGAGCAAGTTCAGGCAGGAGACCAGCCTAGTGAGAGAGCCTATCCTTGTGGTGACATTGCTCTCAACTTCTCTGATTCTTTCAAATCTCCTCACAATGTGAAGATGTACTTCCAAGAGGGGGATCATAGGAGTAGGTATATGTTTCCCCAGTGGCAGGGGGATGCTTCCACTGGCGTCCATGGATAGTGTTGATTATATCCAATGTTAGTTTTACTTAGGTCTCATTCATTTCAATTGATTTATTCAAAGTATGATTTGCATTGGAAGCAACCATACTGAAGATTATTATTATTATTATAACATTTCTAAGCCGCCCCAAGGTTTCGGCAAGGGGCGGCATAGAAATGTTATAATAATAATAATAGTAAGCCGCCCCAAGGTTTCGGCAAGGGGCGGCATACAACACAATAAAATACATTGAAATACAATAGAACATAATAAATTACCATTAAATACAAAAAATACACTGAGTTATAAATATAAAATTAAAATTATCAGTATAAAATAAGTAAATAAAAATATAGGAGGAGAAAAGAGAAGGAAGAAGAAGTTGTCCTGGCCAGATCATATGATCTTTTAGCAACTTCCATTTGATAATTTTTTTGTAAGGTACCAATCTGATATAGCTGAGTATTTCTTTTTAAACTTAACATCTTTCATTCATATGCTTCAAAATAATATATGGAGAAGCTGGAATGTGGTTGTATGTATTTGCAGAATTCATGTTCAGACACAGTAGGCCCTCCTTACTGACAAATGCCAACTTGATTTTAACAATATCTATTTATAGTTAAGATGCAAACAATTTTACTTGTTTTATTTAGATATAACAAAGTAAGCATATTGAAAAAATATTCATAATCTAATTAAGGATCTGATTCTGAAAAGTGACGTTTTAGTTAGGATCTCTGAGATTCTTTAAAGTTTGGCCACACTGTCAAAGCAGATAAGAAAAATA